GCAACCTACATATTAGACAGTTATCTGCTAGCAGATAACTAATTAATCTGTTGGTGCGCTGGTTTCTAAAATTAGCAGTAGGCTCTTAGCCAATAAGAAGACAGATAGTGAGTGCAATGTATAATAACGTCATTTATCCGTTTACAACATTCACCTGTCGGGAGTTTATCTACTCTGGAGACCGTTACGAATTTAAAAATCCTTCAGCCCTTAGCAAGATCGCTTGAAATCTTCTAAACCATTCAAGGTGTCAACGCATACGTTTCAATTTCAATTAACCAATTGAAAGTTAGCCAAGCCTAAAAGCGGAGTTCCAAGAAACGTAAATGAAACAGAAAGATTGTTCGCTGCAAAGTAGAAAACGCAAAACATCTCTTGAAATTATGCCATTCACCAATAAATCCAAGCAGAATTTTAGAATGAACGCTTGCGAAATTTAAAAGAAGTTGGTAATATAAAGTAAAAACAGACAAGCTAAGTACAGTTATTTGTGAAAATGCAAACTTCCTCTACAAGCATCATAAACTCACTATGTGAGAGCTTGTTTAAATTACAGCCGAAGCTCTTGTAAGCAACCACTGGTTTTATAAATTCGATGAGTGGTCGTAATTAGAGCTGATTACGAGAATGAGCCCTCGTAAGCGACAGCATGGTGAAAGGTAAGAGGGTGGTGTCATTAATAATTCGAAGGAAAAAACAAAAAAATATGTTTAGTGTCCTTATATCTGATATAGACACGGCTAAACTTTACTTCCAATTTCAACACCAAAATAACCAAAACTGACTGTATGTGTAACCGACTGTATAATGTAACCGACAGGATTACTGGAGCACCACGTTTTCAAACCCAGTAAAAGATGCTGTCAACAACTTTGAGCTAGTTGAAGCCATGGAGATGGGTGGATATACCATCGTTAAATTTGAAAGAAATTTGACGACAGGAGAAGCAAACATAGATGTTCAGTTTACGGTAAGGTTGTACAACAAATATTCAAGTAATATGTGTGGGTGAACGGTGTAGCTAGTCTTTACACTAGACAGTTTAGTAAAACTTATGAGCTACTACTAAGTTTTACTTACTAATTAGATACATGTGTGAATACCTAAGTAAAATTTCAAGTTCTTTCAGGGGCACCCAACGAGAATATAGTTCAAAACCACTTAAACATGGCATTGTTGAACGTATTTTAGTATTTAAACGGTAGATATAGGCATATTTTTATCCCCTAAAATTTTTTCATCTGTTCGGTTTTCCTAGCTTAAAGTCTAGTGATGCCAAAATTATAGGATCAAAACTTACCTTTTCGAAAATTTCAGCTAGAAAAAAGGCTTCCGAAAACTCTAGGTGACCTTTTTAGGGTAAACATCCGTTAAAAATGGGCAATTATACCAGTTTTTAGATGTTCGAAAATCCTAGGAGAGGCAGGCAAGCAAGAAATTTTACAACAAATGTTCCGGAAATTCTAGATCTCAAATCGTATTCCGAACAGATATTTTCCAAAAATTGACTTTGGGTGCCCCTCTTCTTTTACTTTGCATCTTATTGAAGTCAGAAAGTTGAAACGATTCAAGAAAATTTTCAAGTGACTTAGGTCTTGTTTACAAGGAGGGAGGGTAAACTTGGTCCATTGGTTACCTTAACATACGCACATTTATTTCTTTTTTACACGACCTGTTTACAAGGCGGCAGACAGGGATACCCTGGCGCTAGGGTAACCCTACCTCAGTGCTAGGGTTACCTTAACAAGACGGTTATTCTAAAGCCTGCTTGCCTTGTAAACATTCTGTTAGGGATAACTCGCCTACCCGGGACAACTTTCCTCCGTCGACATGCGTGACCAGTAATTTTGACAATTTAAACGGAATTATCCAATTTCTGAGCTAAATTATAAACATCTGAACATAATAAGGTATTTTTCTGTATACGATGACAATATTTCCCCGTGAATTTAGCGCGTTTTACATGGTTTTATTTCAAATCCTGGACGTTACAAAGAATGTTACGCATGACGAAACACGTCAGTAAAGCTGGTAAAGTTGACCCGGGTGATAGGATAACCCTGGGCGCGATCCATTCAACCAAAATTTCCGGAAATTTCGGTCCAAAACTCAATGGATCGGTTCGGTCCAACCGGAAAAGTTTCGAAAAAACGGGTCCACCTTTTGAGGTGGACCAATTTTCCCCGTCGGAGCGGTTGGAATTTTGGTTGAATCGACAGTGCCCCGTAACTGTGAAATTTGCTTGTAAACCATTGCCCAGTTGTTCGAAGGCCGATTAGCGCTTAACTCGGGGTTAAATTTAACCCAGGTTTCTTTTTCTTGTGTTCAAAAGCATTTTCTCAGATAATTTTTTGTGCTGTTTTTAGAGCTTCCAATCATCAACTTGTAGACAGAAAGAATTAAAACTGAAATGCTTTCTAAGCTTTCATATCTGAATTCAAATATCGCACTAACCCTGGGTTATCTTAACCCAGCTTTGAACAACTCGGCCCAGGTGGCTAACTTTAACCCGCTTAAGCTTTGTTTGGGGCAAAGCATGTCAATCTTAGTTAATTATATTGCGTTGGAAAAAAACCTTAAGTTAACCTGAAGTAAAAAAGAATCATTTGTGTCTGAAGCTTTATTTTACTTGAAGAGTAAATTTCCTTGTCTTGAAATATTTCTTGGCTTATTTAGGCTCTAATATAAAGACTAACGACAAGTTATTGTAAGAAATCTGAGTCCCGAAATCACCGATACAATGCTGAATTGGAAGAGTTTCAGACTGTTGTGTAATGTTGTTTTCAGTAGCTTTTGAAATCAAAGTCTTTGTTGTTTGAGCCGCAGCCCGCTCTTACGAATTCGTAACAAACAGATCTGCCACTCTACCCAGGTTAACGTCTTTTTGGTTATAAATTTGCTGTAGGGCCGCGGGGATATAGATAGCCTCGATCCCTTCTGTCACATTAAGCCAGTTGTCTGAGTACAGACGAACATCTGCCTCTAGTGGCTTATCCCCGTGGAAACCCCCGGGGGGGGTACTCCCTTACAAGAGGCTAATAGGGATGTGCCGCGTGATGGGGTCGCATTTTCAAGACTGGATTGACTATAATGGGGTCGCATTTTCAATAGAGTTACTAGAATGGGGTCGCAAATTTCTGGATTTTTGGGGTGAGTAGGGATTCAAAATGGGAAGATTCTCGGTTAAAAATTCAGAAAGTTTTAACAATAAGCTCACACTGACCGCATTACGTTTCGCCGCTTAAAACCACATTCATAAGGTAGATGTATAAATAGAAAGTGACTAAGTTGGGATCGCGAAAATTAATTTTCCAAAAAGTGACTAAGACGGGGTCTATAGTTGGCCAAACAATAGACTATGATGGGGTAGGGGCTCTAACAGGCCAGCGGCACACATTAACCCAAGTACCGCCCCCGGTAGAAACCAGTGGAATCATACTTCTAACACCTTGGTATAACGCCCTTTGCGCCTTCTGGCAAAAAAAAGCAATCAAGATCACTATCATCGTTGTATTATGGTTAATAACTAGTAATAGTTGACACTACAGCTGCCCCCGTTCTGTATATTGTCGGTAAATAGTATTCTTGCTTGTTGTGTAGCTTTTCACACCTATGCCATACAATAGGTGAGATAAATACAGGAAACGCAAGGTTCCATGCACAGTTTCAGCTCGATTTACACAGCTTTGATCAAAACATTCTCAGTTTCAAGAATAGTTTATTCTAAACCATAAGAAAAGATTTGATTAGAAGTTGAATTTTTCCCTATTTCTCTTTCCCTTTTTACATTCAGTTCATTTTATTTGCCGGAAAGTAAGCCTTAGAAATTAAAAGGAGGTTTGATCGATTCACGCTCGGGCATTCTGGTCTTATTTGAAACTTTAACTTTATTTGACATATGTGAGCAGGGAATAAGTCAGCACAGAATTTGATTGTTGGCAAATTTCTGTAATCGTCCATCGTTCTGCTAGTTATAAGCTAGCCGTTGTTCACTCGTCTTGCTTATTTGGGACTGAGTCTTATTTCGGTCAAAGAGAGAGAAAGAGTGTCTGTCAAGGTTTCCAATCAGGTTTCCAATATAAATCAAAGATTTGTGAACTCGTGTCTGGCACTCTCCAAGTGTTTATATATATACAGTTAAACGCACCTTATAACCTCATCTGCGCTTAACGAGTGTCTTTTTGTCCATAACTTTCAAAACAACTGCTCCACAGAATGTCACTGCGTAACGCAAAAGAGTATCGAAGTATGACTGCACAATAAACCTGAGCGATCCCTTCGGGATTTTCTCTCTTTACGTCATCCTAACCATTTCGTACTTGCGGGCGCAAACAATAGAAACGTCATCATTATGCACCAGTCATTTGAAACCCCCGGCCCCCCCTCGGGCATTAGCGGGGCATTCACTTTTTATGCATGTGAGAGCCAGTGAACTCCCCGGTCCCTGGGGCAAAAGTGAATGGTGAACTCCCCCGCCCCCATATGTCCAACATACAAGGTACTCCCTTTCAAACGTCAACTAGTAGCAAGAGATGACATATAGGATGACAGCCGTGAAATTAACAACTTGCTTTCGCAGCAGCAATGGCAACACTTGCAACCCCTCGTTAGACAAGAAAAGACAAGTATTTAAAGATTTCAGCGTCATCTTTCTATTTTACATCTTGATGTCACAAAAAGCAAGATCACAACAAATTACTTTTCATGTTTTAGCAATACAGTCTTCTGAAGTTTACAACAACTCTAACATAACAAACGTGTTTCTTTTCAAAATGAAATCCTGGATTTGAGGCACATTCGCAGGATACAACTGGATAAGCTGACAATGAAACATATCACACAACAGCTACAATTATGCTGAGTATTCAAGATTATTAAGCCTTACGAAAAATACTTGTCATCCAACAGTAATGGCTAATATGTTTTGTGAGAAAATGTAGAAATCTCTCGAATAAAAGAAGACTACTCAGTTGACCACGGAATATCTTGCATCATTTGCATCACTTGTTTGTTCGCTTCTTCTCGCAATCTGCAGAACATGACAGAAACAGTGTCAATGACAAACAGACACTAAACTCAAAAACTTTCCAGTCTGTACAGCTAACAAAGAACCATCACTTACCAGGACAAAACCACTTCCCTGGAGGAATGGTCCTTGAGGTAAGGCCAACACATTTGTAGTGGAACCATTTGTGTGTACACACATCATCTCCATCACACCAGATCATGTCATCACTGTTCTCCGCACCACACGGACAGTATGAGGGCTCCTCTTCATCATCAGCATCGCTGTCATTTGGAGTGTTTCGTTGTTTCTCTGCTGTAATAGTAAGTAAAGTACAAAAAAGATACACTATCACCTTTTACTTTAAAAGTCAGTCTCAAGTGGACTTTTTGTTACTGGAGCAAACTTTTGGTACAGATACCTTTCTTCTTGGTTCTTGTGTCTTTTGCCTTTTTAGCCCCCTCTTTGCGTCTGTCTTTAACCAGCTGAAGGTGAGCGAACCACATTTTTACCTCATCAGTGGTGAGAAGAGTCGCCTTTGCTAATTCTGGAATCAGCGTCTCAAGTTGCACATCTTTCTGTTTTGCATCTTCAAAAGCCTTTTTTAGTACTATGGATGGGGGGACTGCGCAGTCTTGCATTCCATGTTCCTTGATGTGCTCGAAACACTGCCGTGGAGGAAGAAAGTGCCCAGCACAGAAGCCAACACATTTTTCACAGCTTCCACCCCATGGTCTTGACTTATCAGGTACTGGCAAGGGAAGCAATGAGATGGGTAGATTGTTCTCACTCCACAGGGGTTCATTTTGCGGCTTACCTTTCTTACAGAGTGGATGTACACAGTCTTCCTTAAAACAAGGGACCAAGAGGAATACATATTTATCTGCAACACTCTTAACCATGTGCTTGTTTCTGACGCTCCATATCTCACTAAAGTACTGAAACTGTGTGGGTTTTGAACTTTTCAGTTGTTCCTTAGCTCTCTTTGAACCACTTAGGAAGGTTAGCAGGTCTGGGCGACGGTTTTGAAGATACGAGGCATATTCATCGTCCGCTCCTTTCAACAGGCGGATAGGTGTATCACCACATGGTGCACCGTCCACCCTGTTAATGTAAACCTCTGTTGCAGCATCTAAGTTCGCTCGTAGCTTAACACAATCTAACCCCTTTTCATTGAAATTGTGGCCATTGAGTGTTGATGGTATGAAAAGATGGCTGTGAGCCAAGGCTAGACACCCGTTTTGTAGCTCTACACGGTTTAAATAACTGCCACCACTGTGACGTGTAGTGACCATAGTGCATGTTTTCCTATTTACCACATGCCTTTCAGTCCATAGAAACTGAGTTTCCAATCCTGTTGGATTTTCGTCATGAGGTCCATCAACTCGGATGCAGTCAAACTCCTTATCTTTCAGATGGTCACAAAACTCAAAATGGTTTTCTAACATTCTCATATCTGCAGCATGCTGTGCTGGATTTTTAGGATACACATACTGGGCTTTAACAATGCCTGCACACGCTTGAGGTGTAGTGTTGGACTCCATGACATGATACGATGTCGTCTGGAGAATGGAACTGTAGGTGTTCACATAATCAACCCTTGTTGTGGTTTCCATTTCCTCACAGAGTACACCACGACCCTTATGGGTATACGTCGTATCAAGACGAAAGCCTGCCTGGTCGTCTCTATTTATTAAAACTTTGTTGCATCCATCAGCTAGCTGCAAAACATCTAATGCCTTATAAAAGGAAGTGCTCCAGTGAGCATCAGGATTATACTTAACGTTGAATCCTTTCCGTGACCTCCTGCATGTCACCTTTGCAATGCCCTTGTACCGTTTAGCTGATAGCTTCCTTCTGTTCCTTATGGTACAAAGCTGAACTACTGTTCCATAACTGATCCTCTTTGTCTGGTATTTCTGTTTGAGATGCTCTTGAATACGTTTGTAAGAAGCCTTAGGTCCCCGCTTTCTGTTGCCATCGAAAGTAACGACCCCTGTCCTCCTCCATGCATCTGCACCACACCTCCTGCTCCTCACATATTCCTCAATGTCTCTACCTATGCTAGGAAATTCCTTTAAAATTGAAGAAACTCGCCTTGGAATCTTTCGTTTTAACAAACACCTATTTGCAATTGCTTTTGCCACTCCACGTTTTGTTTGTGAACGTAAAATACGTCTCTGCTTCTTAATCATTTTGATTCCCTCAGGAGAATTTAGCTTCTTCACAGAGAGCCACTGTTCTGGATTGTCACTTTCTGAGTCAGTAACGACCCTGTTGTCTTGGCAGCCTAAGGCCTGTTGTCTACTTCGAGTTAAATAGGCTTGTCTGGATTGCTCTATTAACCTTTCCTCCTCTTCAGTGAAATCCATAAAAGACATGTTGTGTGCAAAATCAAGCAAGACCTGTTCAATGACTGAAGTATTGTATTGCCTCAAAAGAACTATCAACTCATCAACAAAAACAAACCAATTAAGATTACTTTCTCTTAGCATCAATGCCAGATGGTCCTGGGTAGGGGTGAAAACGAGAGACTGGGCAGCTTCCTTGTTAAGGCTAGCATCTGGATCTAACTGTGGTGTAGTAGCCTGAAAGCACTCGGAGTTGCCGTTCATATCTAATTGTGTTTCATCACAGCTTACTTCCTTTAATGTGCCCTCTTGAGTTCTGATTTGACCTTGTATGCCTGGACTGCGAGTACTGTTTACATCTACGTCTTCGCGTGCTTGGAATTTATCACAGTTAGTTTCTCTTGTTATGTTCTCACTGTCTGTGTCTGATTGTTCACTATCACTAGCCCACTCACACGAAGTTGAAGAATCATCAGACTCTGACTCACTGCTGCTTGCGACATCTATACCGAGTGTTCTAAGAAAAGCTCGTTCTTTAACGGCAGCAATTTGCATTACTTCATTTCTAATTTCACAAGCCTTTTGCAAGGCGCCCTCGACTTCGTTTCTCAGCGCACCATAATTGGAGATTCCGTAAGTTTGAGATGCCTTCTTCTCAGAAAGATTTCTTGACGCACAAGCTGCATACTTTATTAATTTACGGTCAGACTCCGTAGAAGCTAAACTGCAAAGTCCACTGAGGGTTGCTTTATTAATCCCACCAGATACAGTGCCAGATGGAATCAGCTTACGAAACAAAGAGACAAATGTTACATAGTCTACACCTGACTGTTGCTCAATCATACACAGTCTCTGGGAACCTTTCCCTTGTGTGCTGGTTTCAAAAATAACAACTGGCAACTGCAGAAATCTACGCTTTGCGTTATAACATTGATATTTAACAAGTGGAAAACATTTGCGAAACGTATCGGCAACATCAGCTATGCCAGATGAGATGATTTTATTTGCTGCCTGTATTAAACCGCTACACTCACGACACCCAACAGCATGATCTTTTGAACAGTATGCAGACCTTGCCTTCACAAATTGTAACAATGTCATACCAGACAAAAAGGACTGATAAATTCCATCAGCTTTACGACAACTACTCACATCAGCTACAGCTTTGTCCTTCAAACTAATGTAGAGGAGAAGTTCTGGACAGTCACATGGCTGTCCAGATTCTGGACTAAAAAAGACTCATTTGTAAGACTTGACGACGGGAAACTACTCTGCTCTTCAAGCTGATGACGAGCAGAGTCTTCACCACCTTCTTGCATTTGTCCTGGGGAGATACTGCTGCTCTGACTGTTCTGCCCCTCAAGCTGATGATGACCAGAGTCTTCACCACCTTCCTGCATTTGTCCTGGGGAGTTACTGCTGCTCTGACTGTTCTGCCCCTCAAGCTGATGACGACCAGAGTCTTCTCCACCTTCTTTCTCTTGTCCTGGGGAGTTACTGTTGCTCTGACTGCTCTGCCCTTTACCTTCAATTTGCTTGATTAAAAAATCCAAGCTTCCCTTTTTGCACGAGCTGGGCTTTCTCCCTTGCTTTACACCGGGTGGAGCTGTTGTGCTTTTCTTCTCTCTCCTTTCTTTGTCTTTTGAATACTTCTTTTCTTTTCTCTGCAAAAGAAGTAACTCTTCTTCTAGATGTCGTTTCCTGACTCGTAGAGGTTCCATTTCTTTAGTTAACCGGAGAGCCCGCTCATCGGCGTTTACGTTCCTAGCCTTTTCACGCGATCTTTCCAAGTGAAAGATTTCCTTTTTAACTTCGTCCACATCCTCGCTGATTTGCTGTAGTTGTTTTGCTCTCATGCTTGGATTCATCTTGTCAGATTTTTCAGGTTGTGGTGCATTAAGAGTTGGAGACCGTGATTTTTTCTTCTTGTACAGGTACCCATCGTCCTCTACTTTTTTTTTGGCCTGCTCAAGAAGTGTCCCCTTATTTGAAATCAGTGTTGGATTTTCAAGAGCAATGTTGAAGGCCGCATCATTGAGTTTACTTCTATACTCAAAAAGGAAACTACCTGGCTGTAGGTCCCTGTATATCGCACTTTCCTTCCTTATTTTCTCCACGTCCATTTCCACACTAAGTTTTTCCACAATCGGGTTCTCTGACACCTACAGACAGAAAGAAAAAAATAAACAGTATCCTTATTGTTCAAAGGTATTTTACAAGAAATCAATTAAAATATTAAGATGCTTCCGCTTACAAAAATAACATTAAAAATTATAGCAGCACTGAGCAGGATCTGAATAAAATCTTAACAGGGACCATAACAAATAAACAAGCGTTTTCAAAAGGGAACATTTTCATTAACAAAACAGACACTGAGGAATTGTTTCTGATCTCGTAAAGCAATTCAACTTACTATAGTTGGGGGCCCCAGAGTTACATTGCCACTTGTAGTACATATGGTGAGCTGCTGGCTTCTGCACACTAAATGGTTACACAAAGATAAATATTTGATTAACTATTAAAGTGATTATACAACTTTGTAAAATACTCAGAAACTGGAATGTGTTGTTCTACAAATTCAAAATTAAAAGCATTGATTAACCAATGTTTCTTCTTAAAATTTTGCAGAATGTGATGATTTTTAACAAAGGAAAGGTTCAAATCACCTTTGGAGTCTGTCACGAGACCCCCTTTGGCAGCAGTCTTTTCCCCAGTAGTATCAGAAGGCTGCATTTCCCATTCCTCCCCATCAGGCACAAAAACAACACAGTTCCATTGTCACATGCCAGCATCGTCTCATCTTCATCTATTTCCGTTCCATCCTCAAGGAAAACTTTTATGTTCTCTGCCTCTATTCCAAGTTTTGCTTTTCCTGGGCAAAGAAATTTTTTAAAAGCCAGTGATATCCATATTAAAGATCTTTTAAAACTTTTGTTTCTGCTTTTGGATAATAAGTTAATTAATAAGAAAAGGCTTCAAAAGCAATTTATTCAGCTCAAATAATTTACCTGCTTTTCTTCAACCAGTCTACAATTGCCTGAATTTCAAATTGACAGGAAACAATGTGCGATTTTCCAACGTCGCGGCCATTCCAGATCAGTTCATTCTCGTTCAGCCATCTGATGACTGTCCACGGAGTTTCGAAATTATACCTATCGAATTTTACCAACCAAATGCAAAAAGCCCTATAAAAGAATGCGTAGGAAGCACGAAGTTGTATGGATCGAATTTCGCGTTGGCTGATCTGGCACGTGACTGAAAGCATGCGTGATCGGAATATAAAAACTTTTCATAAACCCCTTTTCATAGCTTTTTGGTCAATGTATCGAAATCCAAACAGAAGGGAAGTTATAGAAAAGTTATGCTCACTTTGATATCAAGCCAAAGAGCGCAAAAAAATGCATAGTTTAAGCTTTAAGTGTCGTTTCTAGCTGTCGATAGGTCAAGCCAGGTCAAGTGTTTATGAAGAATTCGCGAATAAGATGGTATCGGTGCATTAGATGCATTTTAAAGCATATTATAATTACAAATCTACATAATATCAGTGAAAATATGCCTACCTTTGTTCACCAAACTCTTCAAGTCATCGGCTATGACCGCTTTTTTTACGCCTCGATATTTAACTTTGCAAAACATCGTCACGGTACGAAGCGATGAAAATGTATGCGGAATCATGCGGAATTAGTATGCGGCGCGAAAATGAAAACCGCTGACCATAAAGTGACTGCCCCGCTTATCCCCCGGTCCGGGAGGCAAAGACCGTGACTTTTAGCGTATCCCCCGACTACCGGGGAACCAATATTTGGTGAACATGAAGTGAATGTCCCCGCAATACCCCGGTCATCCCCGAGGGGGGGGTCCGGGGGTTTCAAATGACTGGTGCATTACCTACCGATTCCTCGCGGCCCCTGTTCAAGCGAATCGAGATTTTTTCTATATTGACTGTATGACTGTATATTTCAACTGTAAGTACTTTCCTTAATATACGCGCGAGTTACTAGAGTGCCTCCTCGGGATTTCGCCGTCTGGGCGAAATCCCTGCGGGGGCAATTACATTGTAATCCAGTTAATACGGTCACTAGTGAGTCGAAAAAAATTGGCCGTATTATCAGGACAGGCTCAAACGTCATAAATTAAGGGCCGTAATGACAAATATACCGAGCCTCGCCTTCGAGGGGCGGGCGGGGTACTCAGCCCCGAGGTCCAACCCCTTACCCTTCTATATGATACTATTTTTCACGAAAAAGGTACCTCCTTGGTATAACTTCTATTGACGAATGTTACCCCTTTAACATACCTTGGTTAGAACTTTCATCCCTTTTAACTGCTGTAAATACACTGTCCTTTAAATAGGAATCAATCACAAAAATAGAATGTTTTCTCAACTTCAGTTATAAAGCCACAAAATTCATCTGTTTGCGGCATTTTCCGGTTAGCGTACCGTTACTGTTTTCATTAATAAACAATTGGAATGTAGATAACGCGTACAGTAACTGAGAAAACAACTTAAAATTTCCCTTCAGTACATAAAAAGTCTATAAAACACGTTTAAAATTCGGCTATAAAATCGCAACAAGTGCACCTTATGTGTACCCGTAGGTTATTCATCATTTCCATGCCTTTAATTTAAAAAAATAATAATTTTCAGTTATAAGTTACTGCCGGCTTTTTACATAGTTTCTTTCTTGGTCTACCTTTGGAAATCAGATCAATACTGAAGTCTATATTGTCTGGGCTATGCACTCAACTACGGAGGCCAATCCAGCGTCGCCAAATTTGGGCCCACAGCACAGTGTCAGTAGCAAGGGAATATCAGCAAATAAGCAAAACCTGATCGCTATGGCCATGGCTGCAGCCATGACACCTACCACCACTACCATGATGATGCCATCCACATCTGTTGTTTCTACGCCTCAACCAACAGGTAATGACAGATGTCAATGTAAATAATATAGTCCCGGATTCTAATATATCGACGTTGATTTTCATATATTTTACTATTACTGGGGTAAAGAAAATCGTTCGTTATATCGAGGACTTCGTTACATAGAGGTTCGTTATATCATGAGGTTCCACTGTACGTAATTTGTCAGAAAAAGCCTATGAATGACCAAACAAAGAAGATTTACATCATTCTTCTACTTTAATAACTTTTCATCGCCCCACAATTGAAAAAAATGATAGCAAAAACTATTGATCTTGTGTCCTTGACGTTGTCTCGGACAACGCTTGAAGGGAATAAATAACACATAATATTTTTGAATCCAAATACTTTTGAAATCCGCAAAGAAAAAATTTCCATTTCCACACGTATTCGTATTCAAATCGAATTTGCCCGTTCCGGCGCGTATCCGACACGCGTTCGGATTCACTCTAGTACCCAGGACTGCTCTGGGAATATTGGCAACAAAGCTAAGCATGCGTCGAAAAGCGCGTCAAATCTGCATGTACAATAGGGCGCACCGGTTAGGCCTCTTTTTTGGGGGGGAATCTCATTAAGGTGGGGGGAATAAATTAACGTCGCTGACGTCATAGGCTATTGTCTTGATCTCATGAATAAAATGCGCAGGAATCTCATTAACTTGCGGTGGAATCTCATTAAGTATATCCAGTTTGACGGGTTTATCAATGATGTCATGTTCTATTTTTATCTTGTGGCGGTCATGGTTGGTATAACCGGTTTGACAGGTTTTAGTTATTTTCGGAAGATGATGTCATATGTATTCCGGGGTACTATGATGTCATAGTTGTTTTGATTGGTTGACCGGAATTAGAAAGACGTTCATTGGCTGTCTCGTTTGACGAAGCATTCTGGTTGGTTGCCGTATTTTTTTTTTATTGTTTGAACGGCCTAAAAGCCTGCTCACTACCTTCCCGCATACTAATTTGGATTTCCCGCATACTAATTAAGTGTCTTCCTCCATATATAATGAAGTGGATAGGTTTACTAATGAGCGTCACTATACTACAATAGGAACAATAGGCTTGCCTAGACTTGCTCGTTAATAGTTAACACGGATTGGCTCATGTAGAATCTATTCTATCTTTCAAATAAAAGCGGGCTCTCCGTTCAGCATTTTATTATTGTCACAAACTCCAGTAAATAATATTTTTTGAGCGGATAGCTTCCAAACATACTAGTCAACGGTCCGAAAACAGTACTCGACTTAAAACTATTCACTGTGACCAAAGATAAATATTTTTATTCTACAAAGCCATTGATTCTGTTTCGTCAATATAATTCAACCTTCAAACGTTAACAGGTTGGCCGTTTTCCTTTTAGACCTGTATCATACGAAACAAAACGAACGCAAGCGAACTGTATTTTATTATTCATCGCAAACTAATTTAATATACACTGAGCCAACATGAACGCTTGTCGCATAAATTATCCACGGGAATCAACTCAATTATATATAAACAATGGTGGGATTAATACGCGCGTGCTACAACCAGACTACACCTTTGTTTCGGTTAAAAAATACATTTATTGATAACAAAACCATCAAAGTGTTACAACAATAGATGAATAGACAGAGTTCCGGCTTAGTCTTCGGGAACAGTTTGTTTGACAAACAATCGATTGAGTAAGAATGTCCGCTTATCGATGGCAAGTTCTGTCGATTCCAGCCAGTCATATCTTCTGTGTCTTTGAGATCTTGGCGGGTTTCCATCACTTTTCGGAATGTCGGATCTTTCTTCATTGCATACATCCACTGTAAAAACTCTAAGAACACTTTTCTCAATTCCTTTCTATATACTGGAAGCAAAGCATTTTCAGCTTTAATGCGGGCCACTTCAGGGAGTCTCCGTTTTGTTCATACTCGTTGATCAGAGCTTCGAGCTGGGCTTCGTGGCGATTACAAACTTCATTTTGAATGCGTGACTAAGGATCTACATGCTCCTCCTCCTCCTCTCCGGAAGAGTCCATTTCTTCGCTAGATTGAGAACTTTGAGATGATTGTTCGCGTTCTTGTGAGCTTTCAATATCGTCGTCATCATCTTCAAAATTTCCATATCCTTTGTGAACGAAATGATTATAATTGCTGAACATTGTGATCCGGACTGCACGAGGTTTAAGAACTGACTGAATCAGAAACAGCGGCTTACTTCTTTTATAGCTATCGATGGAGGCACGGCTGCAAAGCACAACGGAACTCTATGAACTTTCATTGTACCCCTCCTGTACCCCTACTGTACCCCTCCTGTACCCTTCCTGTACCCCTACTGTACCCCTCCTGTACCCTTCCTGTACCCCTACTGTACCCCTCCTGTACCCCTCCTGTACCCCTCCTGTACCCCTACTGTACCCTTCCTGCACCCCTACTGTACCCCTCCTGTACCCCTCCTGTACCCTTCCTGTACCCATACTGTACCCTTCCTGTACCCCTCCTGTACCCTTCCTGTACCCCTGAATTCTCTTAAGTACTCCCCACCATTGTAAAATAACGATATATTAAATGATTCTGTTAACTGTGAGTCATTTTTCATAAGCAGTCATGCCTCGAACGTTTCCTCGAATTTGTCCGCTATGTGGCAAACCTGGTGTGTCCAACTTGAGTTCTCATCTTGAAATTGTCCATGACTTAACCGGGCTAAGACGAACACGACTCTTAAAAGAGGCTAAGGTTTCTTGGGAATCAA